GAATAGTGGGAGGGGGGGGGGGGGGGAATAAATGTAATGTCACTTTAACGCTATCGTTGCAGCATTTGGTTAAACCTGAAAATGTGGATGGCACTGCCCCTAATACAGATGTGAAAATAAAAATCCCTTCCAACAAAAAGCACAGAATTCTGTGTTTTTTTTAATAAAGAACACAAAATGGTTGATTACCATGCTAGAGGAAGCAGCATGTCTTCTTGTCCCATATCTTGTACATACTGTAACAAGGGTCTATATGGATGATACACTATCAAACAACAGTCCTGAAAACAAGCACAAATAAAATAACAGATGGGAAAATGGAAAAACACTTTATCTCTTTCTTGTGATTAATGTTTTAATTATGTAGTTCTGGGAAATATCTAAATGATCTCTTGAAATGAAATTCCCTATGCTAGGTTAGTTTCTTTAAAAGTAGACGCAGCAGTCAGCGCTGGATCAGAGACCAGCTCCAGCTCTGGAGGGACTCCTGAAAACTACTGGAAAGAAGAAAAATGATTGGATCAAGGAGGTTTAAGCTCTTAAAGCAGCATTTTGGGGGGAATGTGACTTTAATGTCACTTTAAGTTCATATACAAGTAATGTATGTCAGAGCAGAAAAAAAATGCTGCACTTTATACAGTCTGTGCTCTGCAACCATGTTGTTAGCTCACACTGTTCAACTGCTTTAAAAAAAAAAGGAGCATAATGGGGGGCTGGTATTTTAATGCAAGTCCTTTCTGTATCCATGCTCCCGTGAGTTGCAATTCTAAAGTACTGTGACATGCTTTACATACCGGTATCACATTTTCCTCAAGCTTCTCTGACTAGGCATAAAACTTTCCTTGGACGTCTACTGCTCTGGCATTTAACATAGACCCAGCAATCTGAGGAGGACTTAAAGAATTTGGCAGATTGCAGAGAGGACAAGGACAGAGGTAAATCATATCAAGTTCCACTTTTGCAGCCAAATGTGAGATACACCCACTATATGTTTGTAGCGGGTTCCTATCAACACTGCATCACTAAAAATATTCTTTAAGAAATATCCCTTACGTTTCTAGGTGTTTCTTTGGAGCACAAATATACACAGGACTGAAAGCTATTTGAACAATTTCAGAAGAACAAACTAGGGACAGAGCGAGTTCCCCACATTAACATACAACGCAGAACACAAACTTTAAGATATTTAACCCTTTGTTAGGAGAAGCATTGTTGAAATCTACTTTACATCTAATAAGATATGCCCGAGAGGGGGAAGCCAGGTAGCATTTTTAAAGTGTTTTACTATTTTTCAGTCAAAATTGAGAACGCTGATATGTGTTCCTATTCACACAGCATATCTAAAAAACATTAAAAAAAATATGTCTTACCTTTTCGATGTCTCCATGTAGCAGACATTTGTAAGCGTCTATCTCAATTTCAGTTACAGCAAATGCTAACTGTCCCTATAGAAAGGCTAGAGACAGACTGAGCTCCCCCTCCCCCTTAGTTATCTTAATAATAATCCCCCCACTTGCAATCCAGAGGGAAGTTCAGTATAGAGAACAACTTTTCTTTCAGAACTGATCATGTTTTCTTGCAAGCAATTTATGCTTGTGAATGAGAAACATGTAGCAACGGGTGTTATCCCAATTTGTCTGCAAAAGTGGAAGTATACATTAAACTAGTAAAAAGCACTTGAAAAGTTAAGCATCAATTTATATTTTTTCTATGTAACAAATAAAGTAGATGTTATCCCAATTAGGATGTAAAAGTAAAAAGCACATAAAAAGGTAAGCTGCAATTTAATTTATTTTTTTAAGTTATGCACTGTGAATGGCAACATGTTAGAAATATAAAGTAGGTGTTAATTAGGCTGCAAAAGTGGAAAAACACTTTAAAACATCCAATATGATTAAAAGGTGCCCATACACTGCACGATTCTCGTACGAGAATTGCGGGAAATCCCGCAATCGTACGAGAATCGTGCAGGCGTTTCTACTGTACGGTCGCACGTCTTCTGTCGAACAAGCAGGCTGGAAAACCCGTCGGGAATCGTACGATTCTTGGCGAGTTAATGGCCTGCATGTTCGACAACTGCCGAATGGGCCGGTGTGCACACTGCCCATTTGCAGTCATCGGAAGCCCGCCCCTCATTGCAGTCATCGCAAGCCCGCCCCTCAGGGGGGCGGGCTTGCAATGATGGCAAGTACGATCTGCCTGTCCAAGATGGGCAGATCGTACGTTTTTTTAGGTACTTTACAACCCTCGCAAGACAAAAGTCTTGCGAGGGTTGTAAAGTGTATGGCCACCTTTAGAGTCGTTGGTATCCTTGTCTGTGCCCTGTTAACCAAATAATGATGACCACTAAATGAAGATTACCGCAGTCACGACTTTTTTTCATTTTTGCACACACGTTAAAATCTAAATTGATGGCTAACCACTAAATGAAGATTACCGCAGTCACAACTTTTTTTCATTTTTGCACACACGTTAAAATCTAAATTGATGGCTAGAAAATCCCCAAACAATTTCAAACATATTTCATGAAACCAAAGGCAGTATAGACTAGTTGCAATTTTTATTGTCACACGATATTTGCACAAATGTTTATCAAATAAAAAACACAAAATAATTGAAAAACACAAAATAATACCCAAAATAATTGATTTAATCAGAATTTTTGGCTAGAAAACAGCTTCAAACCCCCAATTATATGACAAAATAATTGAAAAACACAAAATAATACATTTAATCTGAATTTTTGGCTAGAAAACAGCTTCAAACCCCCTGTAAACAGCGACACTGGAAGTGATGTAATATACATCACTTCTAAGTCCAGGACAGCGAAGCCCGGGGAAAGCCAGCAGCTTTCTGAAAGCAGAGGCCCTGGGTGTGACAGGTCCTCTTTCACACCCCTAATGTCACCTAGGGACCCCAAAAGAAGCTGAGGAAGCAGAGATCTGCTTCCCCAGCTTCATCTCCTGGCTCGAAGAGCCGGAGAATGTAAACAGCGACACTGGAAGTGATGTAATATACATCACTTCTAAGTCCAGGACAGCGAAGCCCGGGGAAAGCCAGCGGCGGCGGAAAGAGCAGCACATGCCGCCGATCGATACAAACTATTCACTTGTACCTGGACAGCCATCGCCAGCTGTTTAAAATTAAACACACAGAGTGTTCTTGGATTAACCACTTCTGCGGGCCGCTGTATATGTACGTTTTGCAGTTATTGGCATCTGACCAAGTCCGGAAGTGACACAACGCGTTTGCAAGCATTGATCGGAGTGAGGAGAGGAGCGGTGTTTGGAACGATGCGGGCAAATGGATACCTGAACGGCCTATAACTGGATGCCAGAGGACGTGTCAGCATTAGTGAACCTGGGATCGTATCTTGCTTTGCTGTTTTATCGCTGTACTTCTACTATATATGCGAGTAGCGTTTTATCATTAAAGATTTAAAAAGTTTTGTCTCCATGGCTTTCTATGCCTGGTCTGGCTCCACTTAGATCACTAAATTCACTTATAGTATAAGCTAATGTTCACTTTAATAGAGATTTGATTTTAAAGTGAAGGTAAAAAGGGGGGAAAAAACACATTATAAATAAATACAATTCATTAAAATCACTAGAAGGGGTAGAGGGGGAGTGATATAATGATTAAAGAGAGGATATGTAATAGAAATATATAATATATAAACTATACACTACAAAATACAATTTGGGAAAAGTTATTTTACAGTAAAACACCTAAATAATGGACAAAAATTAATTAACATGAAATATTAAATATAGCGTTAGAAATATCACGGTATAAATGGGGAGGTAGAAGGGTGTTAATGGAGTTAGGTGGGTCATGTGAGCAGCTAACTGAAGATCTGGTAAGCATAATTTGAAGATTGTTCAGAGCTGTCTATGAAATGTAGATACTAAAATATGGACCAAATAGTGAGACTAGCAGTGTTTAAATGTTGGTTGTTTGTGTGTGGATGTATAATTATGTTGTCGTAAATTATATTATTAATTATGTGACTGTAAATTATTATTATGTAAAATTGAAAAAAAAAAAAAAAAGATATTAAAAAAGTTTTAACCGGTATCACGCTAGGGATTGTATGTTTTTCTATCTCGGCTCATGGGGATTAGGATTGCTCCTCTATAATGAGTCTCTGAAGAAATCGAGAGAGTTTTTAACTACCATGGCGTATTTGGAGCGATATTAGACCTATCTGAAGGTCTAATCTAAAAGGTGATCATCTCACTGAGGGGGCGGTCACTGAGAAGCACATTTGGAGTGGCAGATAATTATCACTTTTAAAATAGAATTTGGTTTTTCATGGACTAGAAGATATCACTTGGGACATTTTATGCACATTCTACAAGAATGGATGTTTATTAGAACAATTATCGATTTATTGTTTATTCACATTTTCACTGAATTATAACTGAGATTATATTAGAGTTTTTATGTTATATGATTTATAACTGCGTGCAGCACAGTGGTTATTAGTTACAATATAATACCCAAAAAAATTTCTTGATAAAATATAAAATATGTGGTTGCATCGGGTAAACACATAGCAGACATGTCAAGCCTTAAGGAGAACTATGAGGTGAGTGCTTTTCATTCAGCCTCATAATCTGAGCCGACCTGTGACAATGAAACTATCACAGGTCGGCTCAGTAGATCGGGAGGTGAGCGAACACATACCGGCGTTCGCTCACTTCTCGATCCTGTCACTGCAGAGAGCCGTGACAGGGGAGGGCCTGGATTCCCCCCTCCCCTGTCCGATCCTCCAGCTCTGACTGGCAGAACGGACAGGGGAGGGGGCGGGTACAGCTGGCTCTGCCTCTAGATAGGCAGAGCCAGCTGTCACTCACGCAGCTGGGCGGATCCAGACATAATTGTCGGGATCCGTTTCAGCTGCGGCTACTCAGTATATCGCGAGCTGCAGCTCGCGGTATACTGAGCTATGGGTAACGGGAGGACGCTAGTTTGTTTCCTCCCGTTGCCCTTAGGAGAAGTATGGGGAAAAGCCCTAACCCCATAGTTCTCCTTTAAAATTGTGCATGTCCATGCAATGGCAAAAAGCTGCAGTACCCACATTTACCCATTAGCAGAGTTTTAAAACCTCTCGCTCATCAGTTTAGAATTAACAGTAGTGATGCACCGGTGCAGAAACTGAGCATTTGCACGAGTACACATACTCCTGCAAATGCTCTGATGCTGACGCTTTAATTATGCAAATGAAACAATTGCCTCAGGTCCCACGCTTGCTGGGGACCTCGTCACAGACTTCTTGTAAACAATGCGGCAGAGCTTGGTTTGTTCTTAGACCCGATCCCCGGAGACCTTCCGAGCACCAGAACTATATTCACATTTAGGAAGGACAAGGAGCTGACTATCAGAACCAAGTAAAAGGTGAGTGTAAGGAGTGCACCCTCCCTGCTGCCAGCTTGCCCTGCTCTATGTAGCCACTGCTGCCAACCTACCCTTACCTGCCAGTGTGCCCTTCTTTGCTTATGCAAAGGTGTATACCTTCCTGCTTTGGGTCTACCCTCCACTATATGCCACCTGCTGCTAATGTGCCCTACTCTGCACACCCACTGCTACCAAACTACCCTTCACTGTTTATCTGCCAGTGTGTGCTTGCTGTAATTCTGCATTGCTGTATAATGTATTGCAGGGATTTGTAGTCCTTTACAGCTGTTGGTATTCTGCAGTGATGTATTAGTTTATGCTGAGATTTGTACTCCTTTATAGCTGGTGGTATTCTGCATTGCTATATAATGTATTGTTGAGATTTGTAGTCCCTCTGTAGCTTGGAGTCAGTGGCAGAATTAGCATGGTTGCAGCCACGACCGGGCCCTGGCACTCCACCACTGACTCCAAGCTGTAGAGGGGCTACATTGCTGGTTACCATGCCCCCCTTTCTTCAGCCAGGGGTCCTCCATCCTTCATACTGCACCCGGACCACCTTATTTGCTTGAGAAAAGCAAATAAAAATGTTGGGTTTTTTTCATAATATCTTTTGAGTTACAGTTCTCCATAATTATAAAGAAACTGTCTTAAAAACATTAGTCTGTGTTGTTTTAGAAAAACCTGTTACCTGTCGCACACAAAAAAAAGGGCATCGGTAATTGGTATCAGCGAGTACTTGAGGAAAAGTATCAGTACTCACTCGGTCTGGAAAAAATGGTATTGGTGAATCCCTAGTTAACAGTCAGTGATAGAATTATTGCTCTCATTGTCAGCACCATACAAATGAGCCGCCCAGATCACTTTTATGCGAAAGCCGACAGTCGGCTGAAGAAAACAGTAGCAAGATCATGGCTACTGCTGCTGCCGCCGTAATCTGGGTAATAACCACTTAAGGACCAGGATGTATATATACGTACGGCGGTCCTAAAGTGGTTAAATACTAAAATAGCAGGAGTTACTAAGTGCTTTTTACCAGATATTTAAACAAATTATAAGGGGATTCTCTAACTGTACATCTGTGTTTAAATATATATTAACACTTTGAAACAGTTTAGCGTGGATGCTATTGAGTCAAACATGCTTTAAGCTTTGACATTGCAAAGAGGCAACTTTTGATTTCTGGATAATTACAAAACTGAAGAAAAGCCACTGCCATAGAAACCTAAGATGTGTCAGAACATAAACTGTATTACTTACCATTAATTCTAAAAGGTAGAACTCACATTCCAGTATCTATGAAAAGATAAAAGCAGCACATTAAAAAAAATGATGACGTAATTAACCAAACAAAAAACCACAAACAGGTAGCTTCCAGAAGTTGTAAAGATAGAAAATTGAAAACTTTTGTAAACAGTTTTACTGAACAGATGTATGGTAAATACCCGGGATGAAATGTATATAGACATTTGATGTTAAGTGACATATTCTGGGAATAGAATGCGGCAATATTTAGGAAATGCAGCTGTAAGGACTATCATTCAATATGGTATTTATAACTGACATAAAATAGAATTGTTGGCAGCATCTACTCACATGGTTCATCCTATAAGGAAACTCTTTTGGGAATGCATAAGAAAACCTAGTTTTTACTGGAAAGAAAAATACAAAAAACTAAAATTACCAGCTAAAGTGACCCACTATACAAGATTTACCATCGCATAACAAATTTAACCCACTCCCATCTGCATACAAACATGCGCTCTCAAACAAGAGATCTTTAGTGGCTGGATCTTCTCACGTGTATGTTTACCCTTCAGGTTACATTAACACTAGGTGTGATGAGATGCGTTTAAAATGTTTTTCAAATATATATTATATATATAATATATATGTGGCCAGATTATTATGACCACCCCATCAGTACTTCGTTGGGTCATGAGATAACTCCACGAGATGACTTTGTTGGGCCGCCTCGTGACTCCACGAAATGTTGAAAGGTGATGCGAGGAATCTGACACTGCACTGTTGCCCTTCTGTTGTCTTGTACCAGTCTTGCCACTCTCCGTTCTGCCCTAACATATTATCTGATCTTAGAAAAAAAATTCAGGTGCGTCCAGGAATAAATTTTAACTTCTAAAAAAGGACCGAAAAATGCATGTAAATGCAAAGCGTTTATTCTCTGAAAACTCTTTGGCTACTTCAATCGACTGTTTCAATGGGCAAAGGACAGATGCAACTAAAGCATATGCGTGTAAACGGGTGTCATTTTCAGCATTTCTAGAAGCATAAACAAAACATCCAGCCTGAAAAATTTTGCAGACAGATCTTTGCATAAAAACACAAGTGGCAAGTGTGAATGAAGCCTAAAAATATATGTTGCTAGCTTTATTCTATATTACAGAAAATCAACTAGAGGATGATGACTATCACGTGGACTTTGCAATGACAACAGCAGTTAAGTGGTGGAGTTATTTTGGTGGAGATATTGAAGGGATATAAAAGAAGCCAATATGTTAAATATGCCAAAATGTATATCAAGACAAATTAAAACACAATGGGTAGATTTACTACAGCAGTAGAGCCTTCTGTTCACTGAGCAAAGTAAAAAGTCACTGAGCTCTCTAATAAATAAAAGGGAACCTGTGTTTACTTTGAGTACCAAGTCAGTCATTTCCAAGGGGGAAAAAAACCCAGAGGATTTATGCTTTACAGTATTTACTAAGCTCCAGTGAACAGTCTCTACTCCTTTAGTAAATCAAACCCATTGTGTGTGATATTAGTCCTACTGAAATGTACACATGGTAAAAAAGGAGTTAGAAAGCTTCTTAAAGCAAATCATCTTTTTACTGTACACATTACCTAAATATAAAAGTAAAATAATACTTACATACAGAAGTAGCAGCAGAGATTAACCTTGTGTTTGATACAACACCAAACTCCTAGAAAGCAGAATCATTATTTTAAGCCTTCTATAAAAATGCTCATACATAAGAAAAGTTTCACCCTATTGGCCAAACTCATAAAAAAGGGGCACAAGTACAGTAAGCTTAGAGCTCATTTACATCACGGTATGTTTTATATAAATGTTCAACTATCAAAACTTGAAAAATCCTTTAAAAAAAACAAAAAACTTTCCTTCAGTTTTCTATGAATCAATTAAACACAATAGCACCACCAGTGACCATTAATTACCAATCGCATACTGCGATGATTTGTATTATATCATTAAAGAGAACCTTTTATTTCCCTAAATGGCTCACAATTCTGCACGCTCATATCATTAGATGATCTACTATGCCCATGGATCCTCAAAACTGGGGCACAGATGGCACATATCACACCTTCCAGCCTACTTCTTCCCGCCTCTCTATTGGCCACCATGTACCAGCTCTAAAGATCAGAAACTTTTTGTAGTTCTTCCTTACCTCTACTTTGGATGCCAAAAACACACATGTTGGTGCCATTAACACAGGGTCTATACTTTTCAGAGAATACCTAATAAAGAGAAAAAACAAATCTCAAAACATGGAATATGGGACAGACTAGTATGTTAACCACTTCCTGTCCGGAGCAGTTTCCTAATTTTTGCACACACATGATAAAATCTGAATTTTTGGCTAGAAAACATCTTAATACCCCAAACAATTATATATTTTCTGAAAGCAGAGGCCCTGTAGAATAAAAAAAATGCTAGTTGCAATTTTTTATGTCGCACAACATTTACACAAATGTTAATCAATCCAAATGTACAACCGCCCAGATCACTTATACAGTACAAGGCTTGCTGAAAAAAAATTATACCAAGATCATGGCTGCAGCAGCATGCATGATCTTGGTATAAGCCACTTCGAGACCAGGAGGGGTGGATTTTACCAACTAACCTGTCACTATATTATTTCTTCCAAGGCCACATAATAGAAGAATCTCAGGAAATATTACTGGCAACAGAACACCACAGTTTTATCACCATAGATCACTTTAATCACTTGCCATGAGCTACAAGAGGCATAGCTTATGAGAAGATTGGTTATGTACTTGATGAAATTGCAAGCTGCAGACAACCCCTGGCTGGCAGCAGATTAAAGCAGATAAGACATGGAACAACAGTGTAAAAGAGAATTAATGGTAGAACTTACCGTGCATAGAATCTTTTAAAGTAAACAGTGGCAGTAGCTATAACTTGTTGTCTTAATTTAAGATGTTCTCCTAAAGCTTGGATTACTGCAAACAGAATAACAATATAAGTAATTAAACAGCTATACTATCAGTTAGCAAAGTAAAACAAGCAGTGTGAAATGCTCAAAATAAAGACACTGTCACCTTGCCCATGCATATATATTTTAGTCTTTGGAAAGGGCCTCTCTCAAACCCCCCCTATACTCACTTTACCTTCATTCCCTCGCAGCTTCTTGAGTCTCCACAGATGTAAAAAATACCTAGCAGTCCTGCATATGGAGAAGCATTATCTTCTTCCAGGAGACGGTGCCTGGGACTCAAAGCCAATTGCTAGATCTGAGCAGTTTCACAAGGCCGGCGGAGAGACATCACCACTCCAACTGGGTCACCAACATGGCCGATCTCAGCACCAGCTGCAGAGGAGCAAAGAGCTGCAAAGGAGCACTATATGGTGAGTATGTGGGGGTCAGGGAATGCCCTTTCCATGGACAATGTCACCATGCCCTACATGGGTAAGGTGACAATACTTGTAGGATGTATACTAAACTATAAATCGATAGTCCTATTTGTTGCATGTTTTAAAAAAATATGAATTTAATTAGCCAATGCAAAGTTTATCAATATATACCAATCTAACAGAGAGTAATATTAACCTTAATCTGTGGTTTCATGGCAGCCAGAGTTCCAAACCTCCTCTCTCCAGAGCTGGAATGAGGGCCCTGAACATCATTACATAAAATGCAGGACCAACAGTGACCACTGGTCCTGTATTGTAGGTGATATTAGAGAGAGGGGCAGCAAAGAAAAGAGGCTTGGGGGACCAGCGGTCCTGTATTGCATGTGATGTCAGAGAGAGCCAGTGATCCTGTATTGCATGTGATATCAGAGAGTGTGCGAGACCAGAGAAGAAAAGAGGCTGGGGGTGGGGGGGAACCAGCGGTCCTGTATTGCATGTGATGTCAGAGAGAGCCAGTGATCCTGTATTGCATGTGATATCAGAGAGTGTGCGAGACCAGAGAAGAAAAGAGGCTGGGGGTGGGGGGGAACCAGCGGTCCTGTATTGCATGTGATGTCAGAGAGAGCCAGTGATCCTGTATTGCATGTGATATCAGAGAGTGTGCGAGACCAGAGAAGAAAAGAGGCTGGGGGTGGGGAGGAACCAGCAGTCCTGTGTTGCATGGGATGTCAGAGAGAGCCAGAGGTACTGTACTGCATGTGTTGTCCGAAAAAGCCAGTGGTCCTGTATTTTGTGTGATATCAGTGAGAGCCAGTGGTCCTGTATTGCTTGAGATGTCAGAGGGAAGGGTGGCAATGTGACCGAAGAAAAGTGGCTTGGGGGGATCAATCGTCACTACTGGAACAGGTGGTAAGGAAGACTAGACCATGGATTAAGATAAGTATTCCTCTCTCCTAAACTATTATCTTAAAAAACTAGCATTATTTTCTGCATCTGCTGGGGAATGAGGTTGTGAAAAACAATCTATGGCCAAAAACATTGTATAAAACAATTTTATAGATGTTTCTATTTTGGGTTACAGATCATTTCTATCAACCTATATGGTTTCTGCAATTTGAGTGGTCGATGTTAGAATGAGTAGCACTGCGTTGTATGAGACAACCCTAGAATTGTATGAAAAATCCCATAAAAATGGCTGCCTATGAGCACCTTCACAACATGATTCAATACCTTGCTGAAACAATACCATCACTGCCTCTCCATATCTCTGCCCTCTGAATTCAGTTATGTTTGTATTAACTCTAATACGTTTATGATGGGCAAGTACAGCTTACCATTTGTGAAAAATATCTGCAGTTTCCAATACTCTTCTTCTGATAAAAATTTCAGGTCCTTTTGGCGCTCTTTTAATAAATCCTGTTTATCCAAAATCCATTGTAAACTGAAGAAAAACAAAGATAATTTATATATGGGATGTATAATATGGCTGCAGAAAATGATTCGTCTCCCATGTTGGCAACATTCTGCTTGCTGTCAAATTGCTCTCCAGGCAAAGGGGCACAAACACACAGACACCATAGGCAACTCTGGGTGGTCAACTCTTATGATATAAGGGGCCTCAAGTGCGGCCCCTGACACCACCAAAGGGCCACATATATTATTCAGTGAATGTAATGCTACAGAAAGCTGTTAGAGATTGCAATCATGCGTCAGGAGATTGGCAAAGCCTATGGGCATGCAATAAGTGATTGTCAGAGTGCAGACAGTTTGCAGGATGCGCTTAGAGACTGTGAACATGCTGTATAAGTCGCTGGAGGCATGCTACAGACTTGAGTCACATTACATGTTAGACCCCATTCACACCAGAGCAACAACGGGTTTTTTTCCAAGCGTTTTTGCGCGTTTCAAGCTCATATTTAGTTGTGCAATTAAATTCAGTCACAGCTGCAAAAACGCACAAAATAAAAACCACGAAAAAGCGCAAACAGCGCGTTTCCATTGAAGTCTATGGAGCAAACGAGATGATACGCACCACAGCAGAAGCTCAGGGGCATATTTTTATGTGCGATTCAGCGCGTTTGCATGAACGGCCCCCATAGGAATACATGGCATTTAGATTTGCATGCATTTCAGCATGAAAAAAAACACACGACAAACTGCATTCAGGGAGCAGCGTGGAAGCAGATCCGTCTGGCATGGTCAGTTTGTGTCCCTTAGATTACTGTTAGAAGTTACAGGATCTGTATCGCCTGTAGTCAGTTTTGCGGATCCCCCCCCCCCCGCCAAGTCCTGCTGTGTTCATCAGCAATTCCGATGACCATGAATACAGCAGGCATGGGCGGGAGAGTGTGGCACCTAAGCGAAGTATGTGGAGATACAGGAAACTGTGCCTGTATATCCTGTAGTGGGTTTTGCAGCCATGCCACCCCATCCTGAACCCCCCCAGCCCTGCTTTATTCCATCAGCACTGTTGCTGAACACAGCAGGGTTGGGCATGGGCATGGCTATATCTCCATAGTCAGCTCACCCACTATGCCCCCTGCCCAGCCCTCCCAAGTTGACTGACAGCAGCCTCACTGTCAATCTACAGCTGCTTGTTGCTTGTACATAGTGAGGAATGTACTTCCCGCTGTGTGCGATGTCAGCCCACTTACTTCAGACACTTCCCTGTTATGCGAAAGGAGTGCAGGGAGGCTGTGACCACAGAATAAACCACCAAAAAAGGTAAATAAAACGTTAAAAAAAAAGTAATAGCCATTACATATACAAATGCCATTTGCTGTAACTTCATTGCCGAAACGTCATCAAATATAGGATATGTGTATTGGTGTGTATCCCAGTTGTCCTCTCACAACTGCCAGATTGTATTGTCAGCGGCGCTGAGGGAGAGGCGTCTGTCAGCATCTGCTGGGTAAAGTTGCGGCACTGCTCTCTCCTTCATTCACAGATTTTCTGTTAAAATGATCTCACAATGCATTGAGGTCTGTGAATGGAGGAGAGAGCTTGGATGACAGAACCTCCTCCTCCATTCTCAGAACTCAATGCATTGTGGTTCTAAACAAGAGAGGTTCCAAACGTCAGCTTTAAAAAGGAAAACTATGGGGTGAGAGAATTACACTTTTACACGTCAGCTCTATTGATCGGGAAGTGAGCAAAAACATACCATTGCTCACTTACCGATCAACTCCCTGCAGAGAGCGGTGACTGTCAGTCATCGCTCCCCACAGAGATTCCCCCTCCCCTCTCCGATCCTCCAGCGCTGGCTGGAGGGAGGACGGATGAGGGAGGGGGTGGGCATAGCTGGCTCTGCCTCTAGATAGGCAGAGCCCACCATCAATCAGCCAGCGGGGTGGATCCTGACAGTATTGTCAGGATAAGTCCCGGCTGCAGCGCTCTCAGCATATAGCGGGCTATACTGAATTTTGGGTCACCGGAGGACATTAGTATATGTCCTCCGGTGACCCTAAAGAAAATGATGGGAAAAAAGGTTACCCCATAGTTCTCTTTTAAAGCATATCTAAACCCAAAGACAAAAATGTATTACATTGTAGCCAACCTATCCTTAAAGTGACACTAAACTCAGGAGTTAAATCTTAAAAAAGCATTCCAGTACCTTAACTATTAACTAAAATGTATCTTATTTGTGTATCACTCAGCTGTAGATCCTCCAATCATCTCTGAATTCATGCTGACACTGTCCTTCCTTCTAGAGGGTGGCTACTTTTATTCCCCATGGTCCCTGTGTGTGTTGTATGTTTCCCATGATCTCTGTGTGACCCAAAAGTAGTCACCGCTCCAAACTCGCTCTTGTAAAAGGACTACAATCTCATGTTTATTTTACTAATTTGTATTGAGATTGTAATCCATCCCGGGAGTGAGCAAGTTCGAGCTGACAGGTCGGCTCAATAGATCGGGAAGTGAGCGAACACACACCGTCGCTCGCTCACTTCTCAATCCTTTCCCTGCTCGACTGTCACTCACGGCTCCCTGCAGGGATTCCCCCCTCCCCGATCCCATCCTCCAGCGCTGACTGGAGGAACGGTCAGGGGAGGGTACAGCTGGCTCTGCCTCTACATAGGCAGAGCCAGCTGTCAATCACACAGCTGGGTGGATCTCGACAGTAATGCCGGGATCCGTCCCGGCTGCGGCGGTCTCAGTATACTGAGCTTTGGGTGATGGGAGGATGCTAGTTTATGTCCTCCCGTGAACCTGTGAAGAACTATGGGGAAAAACACTTACCCCATAGTTCTCCTTTAACTCCTGAGAGTTAGTGTCATTACAATCAGAAGCCGAGTCCATTTGACTCTCAGGAGGTTTTGTCATTCTGAAAAGGCTAGCCACCAAGATAATCCAATAAATATATCCAATAAATCCATAAACCACTGACAGAGAAAAAGCACAGAGGTGGGAAATTCTGACTTCTCTTGCTGCATGCTCGTTCTTTGGTGCTAAAAGAAACTAGCATTATTTAAATAGAAAGGTCAGCAGTGTCAACCTACACCTTGCTCTAAGGGTGACAACGCTGCACCCTTATACAGTGAGCGTGGTCGCCTTCGGACAGAAAGTGGGTTACCATCAGAATCACCAGGTAAAAAGCAAATGAATAAAAAGCCTGAAAAGTATAAATTAATGAAGTCACCACATCTAAGGACTGGTATGCTTCAATATATCACATTTATGTTCTTAGGTTTCCATACACTTTCACAGGTTTTAAGTAAGCTCAATAGACTAGAATGAGAGTGTTAGGTACCCTCTGGAGTAATGCATTTTAAGGGGACTGAACACAAACATTAGCCGGGGTGGTGACACAGATGGAGAAGAACGGTCAGCCGGCTGTACACACAAGCTCTTCTCCATCTATAGGCTGTGAGGCCGGCCGGCTCCCCGGACACTACTCACTAGTGAGAGCTCTGCCAGAAATTCCCCGCCATCAAACCTCAACCGGCCGCGACACGTCTGAGCGGTACACCGGACTGGTGACGTCACACCGAGCTTCTCTCCGCCGTTCCGCACCGCGACACTGGTCCCTCCAGCTACTGTACAGGAAGAGAGCCGGCGTGCAACCCGAATATGCTTCCGACTGGGAACTACTGCAGCCCGGAACCAGAGAATAAAGACGGGGGCGTGTGTGTGCTGTTGGTGGTGCTGAGTGGCCAGTAAAGCAGAAGATGGTATTCATACATCTCTGAAAGTAATAAAGTCTATGTTACCTCCCCAATGTAGAGATGCAGAAATGTTTGACATTTTGCGGTGAAGAAAGTATTCAGAATTGGGACTACTGATGATCTTGCTAAGAAAATGAGGGAAATTCAATAAAGACTTATTAGGACTTTAAAATGTCCTGTGCCAAAAAAGCCTTGTCGCCAGTTTCAGTAGCTTTACTGACACTTGCAACAGATAAAGATAGTTCTTAATACTGCCACATTAAGAATCTGTCACTATGGCTGAGTCAGATTCAAAAAGAATGATTGCCAGTTTACAGATTGGAAAACTGGCAGTAATTAAGAACAACTGATCTGGCATAAGCTGGCCATACACCTTACAATTATCTGCAGATTTTCTATGGTCAGATGGAAAAGGTGCAACAGATTCCTCCATCCAGGGCAGCCATCAGAAATTGTGGGGCCCCTTACACGGCTTTAGGCCGGGCCCCGCAGAGGAGCTTACACTCTATTGTCCCCCCACAGTCACACTATTAATATTATACATGTATAAAGCTCTGACCTATACCGCAGTGCTGTACAGAGAACACTGAGCTAGTCACATCAGTCTCTGTACAGAGGAGCTTACACTCTAATGCACAATGGCACCAGCTGTAGGGGGACTACACATCCCAGCAATACATTTATACAGCAATGCAGAACAGTATATGAATTTGACTCAGGGCTTAGCGACCCGCTGGAGTCCGGGCTAAGCGACCCGCTGGACTCTGGGCCTAGCAACCCGCTGGACTCTGGGCATAGCGACCCGCTGGACTCTGGGCTTAGTGAAATGCTGGACGCAGGCCTAAGTGACGCGCTGGACGCAGGACCCACCTGAGACCCCACATATACCTTAGAGTGACCCTGCAGAGCCCACCATAGATGCTGCACAGCCCATTTGATACTCTCTATGGAGGGCTCTGCAGGGGTCTTAGGTGGGCTGGTCAGGGCTGCATCTCCCTCTCTCCCCCTCCCTCCCAGCTCCACTTACCTGTTCACCTGGCCTCCTCTGCTGCCGGACTGGCCGGAAATGACGTGATGTCACTTCCGGCCGGTCCGAGATCAGTAGAATAGCAGCGTCGATGGGGCCCCAGCCTGCTCCAATGCTGCTTCGGCAATGCTGGGGCCTGGCGCTGCTAGGGCCTGACCGCCTCCTCGCCTGTCACCGTCGGCCAATACTCATGTAAGGGTCGTGGGCGGGCCCCCAGGCTGCCTGGGCCCCTTACATGAGTATCGGCCGTATCCCCCCGGATGGCAGCCCTGTCTCCATCTACACTTAATTCTAAAAAGCCCACTTTTCTCTCCCCACTGGGTCCTTGCACAGCCCACTGCGGAAACAATCTGTTCCTTTGTATCTGTATTTTATAAGGCTGCTTCACAAAACAACTAGAAAGGCGAGAAATATTTTAAAATAATATTTGTTGGTATGCTGTGTGAATGGGAACACAAAACACACATATAGTGGGGGTTTCTCAAATTTGGCCGCCAAAGTGGAAAAACACTTTTAATCTCAAGAGCATTCCAGATGGTCATGTGATAAGCAGGACCCCCCAAAAGAAGCTGATGAAGCACAGATCTGCTCCATCAGCTTCTTTGCAGCTTCTGAAGCTGGAGAGTGACACAAGAATGCGGAAGTGATATATTATACAACACTTCCGCATTCTTTCAGAGGAGAGGAGATCGTGTACCGAGCTCCCTCTGATCCCCTGTTACACAGGCAACATGTGGGACAATGCGGGACAATGGCGGGGGGGACGGAGGGGGCGCACTGATCGGCACCCCATACACGCGATCCGCCGGCTCTATAGCCGGCGGATTGCTTATATGTTAACAGGCATCGCTGCCTGTTTTTAAATTTCTGTCAATTCCCGCGGCACGCGCGAGGGGGCGTGTCTGAGCGGACGTCTAAAGACACCCGCTCAGATCTAGAAAGCTCCCGGCCGGCCGTTTTTTTACTAAAGCTCCCAGCCGACCCGGAGGCAGTTAAAGAGTATAGTTAAGATGTAGGGATGAGCTAATCAATTTGTGGAACTTAGAACTCATGGGGAACCCACCTGATTTGCTTTCTTCCAATATTTGCTGATAATGACTGACATTTTTGAACAATGTGAATGTTTGTTGTCAGATTGGAAGGCCAAATGGGAGGATTGAACAAAATTTACTGGAGACAAAGAGTACAGGCAGGCATTTTACTATAAGAATTAAGAAACCGCAGTGAATACAGCAGTGTAAAGTTGTCCAGCAGCAGAACAATTTTAAATAGCAATTTTAGGCCCAAGTTTACTGTAGACAAAAGAGCACAGGTAGACAAAACACACAGGTACACAAATTAATAGGCCCCATGGAATACAGTAGTGTAAAGCTTGCCAGCAGCAGAACAATTTTAAATAGCAATTTTAAGCCCACTTTACTATAGAAAAAAAGTGTGGGTAGTGTAGTTTTTTAAAATTTTTATTTATACAGTTTCAGGCAAGAGAAAAATTACATTCCACATTCTAGTAACTGTGTGGTAAAATAGAGGTTTTGGTGGAAAATAATCCAGGACTCCATCTAAAATATGCTGCATCGCATGTCACGCCATCACAAAATAACAGTACAGGTAGAGGTTTTACTAAAGGAGCTAAGAGACCACAGGGGATCCAGCAATGTAAAATTGGCTAGAAGCAGAACAATCAGAAAATATACCCCATTAAAAAAACATTTGCAGCCTGGAGATTAACTTCATGGAGAAAATTGTTTCCTCCCACACCCCCAAATTTTCCCAAGATACAGTGAGGGGAATTTATCAAAACTGGAGCAGACAAAATATGGAGCAGTTACCCATGGCAACCAATCATCTTCTCTCTTCAGTTTGTTCAGTTACAATTTGAAAATGAAAGAGGGAAGCTGATTGGTTGCCGTGCACAGCTGCTACAGATTTTGTCTGCTCTGGTTTTGATACATTCCCCTCACAGTATTTTGCCGCCTAAGGACGCTCAGGGTTTACATCAACTCGACAGGCCCTGCACTAACCTATCCGTATGCACTTGATTAGCAGCAATCCTTATTCTTTTTCTATCACAGCTAAGCACTTTGTCAAAATGGCTGCTGGGAATCTAACATTTTAGAGTGAGGAGGCTGACTTATCCAAACACCCTTTAAACCATTTGAACGAAGCATATTACTGGAGCTGGTTACTATGGCAGTGAAATCAAGCATTAGTTTGACATGTCTGTGAACTGCAAATCGGTTAAGTTTGCCTAGAACCCGTGCTTGACCCGAAGCCGAACCTCATCCCTATTGGCGTGTTTATTTACTTTTAAGTCTTTGTGGGAATGAGTTAAGGGGCAATTATGTACCTCTATACTCAATACCCCGGGAGTGGGCAGATCTCAAAGACCTCTGCAAATATAAAGCTGGCCATACACCTTACAATTATCTGCAGATTTTCTGTGGTCAGATGGAAAAGGTGCAACAGATTCCTCCATCTACACTTAACTGTGTGGATGGAGTCATCTCCACCTGGGCCAATCTGTTGCACTTTTTCCATCTGACCACAGAAAATCTGCAGATAATTGTAAGGTGTATGGGCACCTTAAAGGAGGTTTCCAGAGTCCACTATAATATCACCTTAATAACCCGCATCGTTCTTGGGGCACTGGATGTGAGCAAATGGGACTTGTCCCTTCACATTGGGAAAAGGTGCCTTATAAGAGGGTAAAGCGACCCCCCCTTGATAGGTACCCTCCTCACTGTTGAAAGTGTGGTATGATGCAAGAAGGGGGTGGGGCACACGCTTGTTGCCACCCAGGCTGCATGCCTAGAGAAAAGGCTGGGTAAAATTTTAGGGGGTACCCCTTGCTGTTTCTTTCCCATTTTGTTAATGTGTACTGTCACTTTAAAAGACTACATCGCACTGTTCCATGACACCACATGCAGCTTTAAGGCATCCGTCAAATCTTTTATTTAAATAATTTTTGTATTTTCAATGTTGCTGGATTAAAATTACATTTTTTTGCATTGGTACATTAGCACCATGATAGTGCCCTGCTCTCCATGCCCTTATTTCAACAATAGCTTGCCCATTAGCCTTGAAAATGCCCAAAATATAGCTAGTTTTGTCTCCCATAGACTTCAACAGGGCTCATTGCTAAGTATGGAGTTTGTGGACTTTACCAAACCAAGCCCAAAGTCAACCCAGGCAAAGTTGCTCGTCCCTAGTCACAAACATATGTGTTTTAACTTTCTATTTATGTGTTTGCATGGAGTACCCCTTTATGTTTTTCACACTGATTGCGAAAGATCATTGTGTACTGAAAAATACATAACCATCTTGTTTTCACCACAGTCCCCCTTTGAACATTCTCACTTACTTTGCCTTTGATAATAGACTGTAAGACCTGATAATGTTCAGCTGTTTTCTAGTACAATGGTTTCTGACATAGCACATTGATTTTAATCATGTCAGGTACATTATAAGCACTCCCAACAGACACAGCAGATTCTACCCTTCATACTAGAGCATATGCTTCAGTAACTGTTTAACAATTAATTCTGCTACAGGAATTTCTCTGCATGGATACAGATGTTTGTGCACATAAACAAGTGGCTATTCTTTTTAAAGAGAAAATTACCTCAATTTTATTTTGCCAACTAATTCCCTAATAATTTTGCACAACATAAAATTAAAGCATACAGAGATTTCAATCCTGACCTTCTGAATTTAACCATTTCGGGCATAAGACATATGTCTTGTGTTAGGTATTTTACATATTTTATCAGTGACTGAGAAGATCATCGTTTTTACAAATTGTTTTGTTATTGTGGAATTACGAAAAAAAAGCATGCCAAAGGATTTTTTTAATTAATGATATTATTGTTGTTAATGATAGGTATTATTGT